ACAGCTTTAAAAAAAATTTTCTCCATACCTTGAGATAACAGGCATGGCTCTTAATTGCTGCAATGCTGGGGTGCATGGAGCGTCCCACAGGAGTGCCGGGGGGGGGGGCCTCCATGTGCTCGACAGCAAACCCAGAAGCAGACTGGAAGTACTTCTGGTCTGCTTCCGGGTCTGCTGAGGAGCATGCAGGGCCTGCCCCCCCCCCAGCTGGGCTATGAGCCACAGGGGGACCCCAGGTGCACCTCCCCCCCCCCCGACCTAGGAGGTACCAGTCACCAACTCAGGGAGGTGTGGGGGAGGAGCCCTCTGAGTCCGCCCCTGGCGGACCTGGAAGTGGACCAGAAGTGCTTCTGGTCCACTTCCAGGTCTGCTGCCAAGCGCGCTGAGGAGGCCCCCGTGCTTCTGTGAGACACTCCACGTACCCCAGCATTGCAGTGATCACAAGCCCCTGCTACCTAGAGGTATGTAGAAAAAACATTTAAAGCTATGTCTATGTCCGAACCTCAGAATCTTTCCGAATCTCTCCGAATTGATTTAGAGGGTTCTGATTCAATTCGGATTCAGAGATTCAGCCACCAAATCGGGTTGATTCTCTGCCAGATCAAATCAGGGACCAAAGCATCACACAGTCCAAATTCACATATTCTTGATTGATCATAGTCATCTTTCATGGACCGCTTAGATATAGTCTGTGGACCCTCAGGGATTCACAGACCACAGATTGAAAACCACTGACGTAAGTAAAGCCAGTGGCTCTGGGTATCTTTTTAGGTGTAGATTTAAAATATTTACATTAAGGGACATTAATAAAGAAAGGAGCCTGTTAATGTGACGTGTGGTATGATGCAAATTTCCAAGCTGTGTTTGAATAATTGCACCATATGTTCTCTCATGCTGTTTCTCTGTAAGATTGTATCTGTAAAAGGAAGAAAAAGTCAAGATAAAGCAGACAAATGAATATGTGTAAACTGGAGTCACAATGCCAATCTGGAATGTATCTTTTAAGATTTTGTTTAAACATCACTGCACTGCCTTAGGGATATCAACTTGTATCTAAAGCAATAAATATATTCATTCCAATAACGTTGGAGGACTGCCCTCTGTGATATTTACAACTAGTGATATGAACATTGATGATCAGAAGGGTTTTACGGGACATAAGGAGCCAGATCACATCAATTTATACTAACTGATAGCTCTATTTATGCCAAACCCACAGACGGATTTGCTCCAAGGAATTCACTAGATCAGTATGTAGTCTCTAGGAAATGGGTATCTTAAAGGAAGCCCTAAAATTCTCAACCAAAATACCAGCCATATCAGAGGGAGGGAATTTTGGACTCCAAACCATGATAAATTTATCCTCTAGAACACACGAATACTTAGACCTTGTACTGTTTGTCTTATGCATATGAGGTTTTAACTTTAGACTCATCCTGAATTTAAAACTGCTTAAAATTATGCTTGACATAATTCAAACTAAAAATTGATTGGCAAATAAAGGGCAAATTGCTAGGGAATAATGAGGTTTGATGTCCAGCACCAACCCCTGTAAGAAATCAGATGTTTTCACAGGAATAAGTTGTTATAGAACTACTTGCATTAGTTCTCTCATTATCTCTTTACTTTTGTACTCTAATATTTTGACTCAATTTGGCTTATTGATTTAGTTGTGCTTTACTTGACCTTACAGAGCAATCTGTGCTCTTTTCAAGTGCCACTTTGTATTGACTCTAGCATAAACCTATGACTTCTATAATTGGTTTAACAGTTCTTTGAGGCCTCTTTGTTTCTGATCAAGGCACCCACACATCTACTGAGAATTTAAAATAGTTTTGTTGTCAAAACCAATTATACCAGGAGAGTTAAAGCCAGTGTTTCATTTGAACAGTCACTCTCCAAAGGTACAGGTTAACAAGCTGTGCTACACCAAGGCACTTAGCTGGGCAGCAGATGGTGTATGAACACTGTCAACTAGCCTGAACCCTGAAAACCCATGAGCACTTCAGTTGAGGACAGCTTTGATCATTAGAAGCTGCTTACAGTTCAATAGCAAATGACCTATTATTCTCAGAAGGAATGAGCTGGTGTCACATTAAGTGGCTTTCTATCAAACATATCTTCCAGAAAAGATGTTTTTGTACCAAGATAATGTATGAATACACAGCAGAACAACATAATTGAATTCTGCCCAAAGTAACGATATTTTAATGTGCACTCTAGCAGCCAGGTAAAATTCAATATAAATCCTTCAACTAGGCATAAGCATAGGCATAACATAATGGATATGCAGTTACCTTTTTCAGAAACAAAGTAGCCTCAAATCTGTTACAACTAGAATCCACCAAAATATAAACATGCCCCATAATCAAACAAGGGACACAAATGACAGTAATTCACAGGATATGTCTAGCAGATCAGATATTAAGTGCCAAGCAAACAAATGTTCTGCTGTATTAAGTGGCAAGCTGCAGAAAGGATGTGAATTATCCAAGTTAATGTACCAGTGCACATAGTAGGGAAGTGTCTGAATACATTTTAAAATCTGTATAACCTCCTCCCTCACACCCAAGCCACCTCCCTGCAGTCTGTTCAAAATGGAGCTGCTAGTATTCTTCTCCCTGAACATCGTTTTATTCAAGCATTGCTTAGAACATCCTCTTTCTCCTCTTCCTTTGCCAGTTCCCTCCCACGCCAGAACCATGTCCCCCGGTACAGAGAACAGATCCATCCTCCATGCGGTTCCAACCAAGGTGCGTACATAGGTGCAACTCTCATCAGTTGATGATCTCCCACACAATATTTTCCAAAAAACAAGCTGATATGGGATTACCACTAATCATTAGGGACCTACTTACCTCGTGGTGAGAGAAAGCCATTTCTGCGGCTTGGTTGCTGTCTGAAGAGCTGATTTTGTGGGCATTTCATGGTGGTCCTGCCTCTTGGCGCTGATTGGTGGAGAGGCTCTGTCCCTTGGCACTGATCAGCAGAGAGGCCCCCGGGGGTGGAGAGACGGGGGGCACCATCTTGACTGCTGCCTGCCCTTTGTGCAGCCCTGCCCCTTACCACTGATTGGCAGAGACACGATGAGGCAGCAGCCATCTTGGCTGTTGCCCTTCATTCTGCCTTGACATCTGGTACCTTCCCCTCCGGGGTGGGCTACGAGGCTGCAGTGGCAGTGAGGACTGCTGGCTTCCACTAGAGAGCCAGCATTTTATTTTTATTAACTTTTGGGGGATGGATTTCTTGGTAAATCATGAAACTTCAAGTAGGTCCCCTCTAATCATACAAAGAATTACTGTAAAGATGACTCTTTGTACAGGTCTTGAGTTCTCAGGTGAAGAAAGTAAAGCTACAGTGCATCTTTTGAGTTTGGCAAGTCCCACACGTGTTACTTGCTATGACCCAATCACCATGAATGGCTACAGGATTTTGGCAGGACAAGAAACAACAAACATGCTTTGGCTTTGGGAATAAATGTGTACGTCTGACCTTATTGCCTTCTATAGGCTATCTCACACAGGATGCATCTATGTTGTACTGGCAAAGTTTAACTGTAATATGTGCTAGCAAATACGTTCCGTCTTGTTCCAATAATACAGGCAACAAAAAACAGCAAGGGCTTTAGTATGTGCTAATAACTAGGAATATGTATATAAAGTCCCTAGAGGGTTTGTACTCTCATGACTAGTGCATACTAGTCGTGAGAGTACATTACTAGTATGCACCACTAAACAGCATGCCGCCCCATCATCACTACTGTTGTTTGTGCTCGCTAGATTAAGCTAGCCTGATACCATACCTTGCAACCACTTGCTGCATGAACATACCCATACACAAAATGCCTGTTACAATAAGGCTACCCAAGGCTGGCCTATTACTGCCAGGTAAAAAAGGGAGATCTCCTTTGATACAAGAGGTAGAGGTCTATATTCTGAGTACTGCCTTCTCTGTTATGTGAGGGATTCAACTGGCAATTGCCTCTCTCACACAAGAGTGTGTATGATAGCCCTAGCCTTTCAAAGAGCTGTGTGTTAACTCTAATTTGTGCCCAGGACTTATGCTTGTTTGCATGTATGTCTTTATTTTTAATTTAGTGCTATCTTTTCCTAAGATGATTTTTTTTCTTTATTTTTTCTTTGTTTGTCTGGGACAATATATGTGGAATGCAAGTCAGTTGCCCAAAAAAGGACCCGATTTAGTATAGAACTTACCTAATGCTTAGTAAAGTCAAAAGATTTCATAGATTTCATAGACGTTAGGGAAGCTTTTCTGACTGGCTTTCTATGATAACCCTACAAAGAGATGAAACCCCATTGTTTTTACACTTATTCTACAAAAAAAAAAAAAAAATGAATGGGTCAAATACTGCCAAATCTGTACCTGAATAATATCCATTGCCTTAAATGTAACTCTCTCATGCTGGCAGGGAATTTGCTTCTAGAGAACCAAGGACATGGCTACACTGCACAGCTTGCACAGAAGTGACTGCAGTACAGTGAGCAAATACCCAATCTAGATTTAAACAAACCAAGCCTTATTATAACAGGTTAATTTAGCTTTAGAATGCTACTCTGATATAGCGTGTTCAGCTGACAATGATCACCACCTCCAGTGTTACACTTCAGAAGTGCAGGCATTTATAAGAATGGCTGTATTTTTTGACAGATGCCTAGTTTAATTTCTTGATTAGGATGATTTAGTTAAGAGCCATCTCTTTGGGTAATGTGACAGCTAACTCACATTCATCATACTGAAAAAAGGACAGTTGAAATAGATGCAACAATGAAACTAATGATTACAATGATTCCCATTAATCATTAAATGAATGGTCCCACCAACTAACTGGAAAAAAGTATTCTCATATATAATGCATCTATCAGTAATATATTTTAATCAGCTGGCACATTTTTAAGTTTGCTTAAAAGTGAACTTTAGTCATCATTCATAATGGCAATGACTTGGCTATATCAGCTTCACAATCGTTCATTTTCACCTACCTTTTCAGCTGACTGGGCAGTGCCAAAAAATATTGGAATGAAGGCAAGCCATACTATACAAGTAGTGTACATAGTGAATCCAATGGGTTTTGCTTCATTAAAATTCTCTGGGACACCCCGAGTCTTGATGGCATACACAGTACATGTAACCATTAGGAGAATGCTATACCCCAAGGAGCAAATGATTTGTAGATCCGTAATGTCACATTTGAGAACTCCTCTTGCCTGGTCAGGGTTCATAGTCTTCTGCTCATCATAATCTATGATGATGTTGGGTGGGTCAACTGCAAACCAAATGAAGACCCCTAGAAGCTGAACAGATATTAAACTTGAAGTGATTGCCAATTGTGATGTTGGGCTTATAAGCCTAGGTGCTGTCACTGACTTTTTGCCCTGCTCAAATATACGGTAGATACGGTTTGTTTTAGTTAAAAGAGCCGCGTAACTGATGCACATCCCCAAGCCCAGGAAGATACGCCGGAAGGAGCATACCGCAACGTCTGGCTTGGCAATCATCAGGAAAGTAATTATATAACAAAGAAATATTCCCGTCAACAGGACATAGCTGAGTTCCCTTCCAGAAGCTCGGACGATAGGAGTGTCATTATATCTAATGAAGGTCGCCATTACAAAAATGGTGGCGATAATTCCAAGCATAGCCAAGAAGACTGGTATGACAGCCCATGGAGAATGCCATTCCAATTTCACAATGGGTATAGGACGGCATCCAGTGCGGTTCTCGTTAGGCCGCTCATTATAAGAGCAGAGAAGACAAGTCACCTCATCAGCCTGGTACTGGTACCCATCACAGAGCTCGCAGTGCCAACAGCATGGCATTCCTTTAACCATCTTCTTTCTAAATCCTGGTTTGCAAGGCTGACTGCAGACTGAGGATGGGATCTCACGTATGCCTTTACCCCACTGCATTTCCTCAATCTACAGGATGAAAAATGTGAAACAGACAGAGGCTGGTTATTTGGATTTTTACTTTAAGGCAGTGCTAAAAATCAAGGAATAATAATGGGTGCACGTATTTAAAAAAAGGAACAACAAAACACAGACACAGGTGGGTTACTCTGTTTTCCTGGGAAGTGCAGATGTCAACATTTTCTCATAAAACTCTACTCTTGATATTGTCATTACCATTATATTGTTTTTAGCAAATTCCAACCCAAATGGACTCTCTGCAATAAGCATAGCCGAAGAAAAAGAGGTACATTAAAAAGATATCAATAGAAAAAATGCTTTTTATTTTTTTTTCATGGAGAACTCTTTTTTCATGGATTAGTAGGTGATGAGGTAATGTTAAAGGCAAGGCAGCAGCCACAAATAGCATTCTGAATTTTTAACGTACACCCAGAACTCAGATTTCCTACTGAGATAAGAACACCTGAGGCTTTCATTTTACTGAGCTGCTTGCAGCAATGATAACTTTTTAAATGAGAAAAAAGTTATGCACTCCAAAGGGAAAAGCAGTACTAGAACTAGTGAGAATGTGGCAAGACCTTAAACAATGTGAGCCATAGAAGAATCAAACTTTATGAAATCCATAAGAAGCATTTGTCAGTGATAAAACACTAGATAATAATTAAGCAAACATTTGTTAAAGGAGCACATTTTATTTTATATACATGTAGCACCATGTCAACTTCTGGACAATTATTACATTATCTTAAATGAATGTCATTCTCCCTTGGTCTTTCTAGAGCTTTGCATTCTCCCAAATACCTAGCTCAGTGCATTACAAAGGATTAGAGTTTGAGACCCCTTCAAAGTATTTCAAACTTGGACCAGAAAAACTGCTTGGTAGGGACCTACCATTCCTAACAGGACTCTATGGGCACATTCCCATGAGCGTGCACGTGCATCCTCCACAGGACACATAGCAGTGGCACATATTTGTACTGCTGCTATTTTTCCTTGGGCACACCCCTGCAAATGCACTCCAGCATGGGCCAAATGGCCCTGGATGCAGTAAGGGAGGCTGGGACCAGCACCCAGGCTGACCCCAGCAGCCTTACCTGGGGTGCTGGGGGCTTCCCAAAGTAGCAGTGGTGGTGATCCATGTGCTTGGAGTCTAGCCAGCAGCCAGAGCATAGCTCTGGCTGGCCAGACTCCATTTCTGGAAGTGCACACTGCTGCTGCATGCGCCAAGCCACTTGTTTCAGCAGTGGAGTTTTGACCAGGATCTCCCTGTGTCAAAAAATCATGCTGCACCACACATTAGCAGTGCAGCGAACGCCTGCAACGTGTGCCACATGCAGTCTGTGGTGCTGCAGACAGCACGCGTGCACTTATGGGGATGCACTGATAGCCAAATTCTGATCTCAGTTGCCCAGCATAAATGAAGGTCAATCCCATCATCTGTGTTAATTTTCATTGGCTAAAAAAGAAAGCCAGTGTTTATAAAGACTGATCTGTTGGGCTGGATGTACAGGTCACAGGAAAAAAAAGGATAATAGCTTTATGGATACCATTGTATAGTTAATTTCAAAATATTTTTTAGTGCCACCACTTTTTCTATACAAATACAAATCAAAAATGAGTTTTGTGAATCAGCTTTTGCTGTTATTAATGTCTTAAATTGAACGATTCATCTGCACTTTCCTAATTTAATTCAGAATAGGTCCTGACTCAACTCCATTTCATATATTAAAAAAAAAAAAGAACCAAAGCCACATACCACTGCAAATGTTTAATCTTCTTGCTAGGCTATCAAGGGACACTGCTGAGAATGTTACAAAAATAATCCCACAATAACAGATATTTCTAAGGTCTGCCATTCTATTAGAAACTTCATTTATCTTCAATACACACAACTTACACTGAAAGAAAAAAAAATCCATGAACTCTTTTTTTATGATCTACTGAATTAAAAGTATATATTTGAAAGAAACCAAGGGATATTGGCTTTAATAACTAATCTGAATATAACATCTATCTAAATAGAAGAAGACAGTGCTGTGTCTTTGCATGAGCAAGGCACTAGGAGCCAGGAACTCCAGAGCTGTAAACCCAACACTGCCACTGATTTATCTGGTCTATCTGGATAAATGATCTCAAAGTCTTTGAGCCAAATTTCAAAGCTATTTTTAGGTAAGCTAGAGAAAATGAGCAGGAGTGCAAGTTTCACAGAGGACAAAAGCAAAGTGTTATAGTAGGAAAAAGAAACAGGTGGAAAGTTTAAAAAAAAGAGGAGGAGAGGATTTTAACTCTAGTAATCAGTTGCAGTCATCCTGCCTCATAGACACACACACACACACAACCTGGTACCAAAAAGATCCATAAAAAGGATGCTGATGAATGACAGAAAGGTGGCTTGCCTTGTCTTCCACCTTCTTATGCGCTTGCTGGTATTACACCTATTAAAAATTGGTAGGCTGAGGCATAGAGAGCTTGACAAATACATACATGAGGTTGCACAACTGAGTCAGATAGCTCAATAGTACTCAAGTCCTGACCTCCAGCTTCTCTGCTCAACCTGCTGCACATAGAACCTCCTTGACCTCATTGTTGCAGCACTTATACATAGAAAATGAAAGATAAGTATGCAGTAACTATTTCTGTTGTAACCCAGGCTGCAGTGATGAAGAGACTTGTGCTAATTTTCTGTGTGCTAATGTCTCAAGGAACCACAGAGTGGAATCCTTAATGCATTACCACACTTCCCTGCCATTATAAGCTTATCAAGAGTGAATTTCCATATTCTCAAAAGTATTCCATGGCATTGCCTGATATTTGGGACAGCCTAAAGGTATCTCATTTTGTGCAGATACTGTGTGTAAAGAGATAAACAGAAGATCAGGCAAAATTATGGAAAGCCCTTTTTCTTGTCTACTGGGAATACAGCATGATAACTCTATATCACTGGCCTCATAAAGATTTGCTACTGTTCTGTTGCTTCTGGCTAGAAAATTAATAATGAAAAACTGCCTGTCAGATAAGCCACCTGGCAGAGAAGCCTGGCACAGAGAGATTAGAGATCTGATTCTAACCAGAGACACTTTCCTTACGAAGACAAGAACATTTCTGAGAGAGTTTTGTCTTTAATATAAGTGATTTTTATTTAACTTCTTGAAGAAAACAGAACAAAAACATGAAGTATTAGTCAACAGTCTACCCATCTAAGGTATTTTTAAAGGTAATTTTCCCCTAGAATAGTCATTGCTTTACTTTCCTTCCCTGGAAATCCTCTGTTGTAGTTCCCTGGAATCAATTTAGCTTCTGAAATCCTGCATCCAAGAGACAATTCTGTTGCCACAGTAATTTCCATTTCTCACCTCATATTCAATTACTGTTTGCATTTATGTTGCATATAAAATGGGTTGTTTTTATGGCATATTTCTTCTACTATTTTTATTCATTGCAAATTGAGTCCTATCCACTAAAAGTTTTGCTGAGTTAAGGATTTGCAATATAGGGCCCACAGTATTCTGACAAACCAATAGAAGATAATTTTAGTACATAAATTCCATATGTGATCCTTCAGTAAAAACACAATGCCACTACATTGAGATTACTACAATTTAATTTGATGCTAGCAACCCAAGGAGTTGTTAGCTATTAAGCTAAGACAAGCTGCAACCTTTTTCAAACAGTTCATCTGAAAACGTGTCTGACATTTGTCGGAAGAGGTGAACTGAAATTCTAATTTAATAACAATCAGACTATATTGGTTGACTTCTTAAACAGTCAATAGTATTTGAAAACTCTTCTAACTTACAAATGAGCTTAAAAATCACAAATCATCTGCAAATCACTTTCATCTTCACTTACCTGACATGAAGCTCAACATTCTGCTGCTTCTGCTTCAGTTAGTGGCATTGCAAATACCAAAAGCAGCGTAAGAAATACAGAGTTTGGATAGTAGTGAGGTTATCTCATATATTGCTGAAAGAGCACAGACCAGCATCTTAACCTCCCATTTCACTGTTAAAATCTCTCTCAATCACTTGCCAATCCCTTTGAGCTCAATGCAAAACTCCTGATACAGGCCAAATTCCCATGAAATTCAGTAGAGTTTTGCAGGCATAAGGGCTGCAGGATTTAATCTGTTGCTTCATTTCAATGCGTTTGTGAAATAGAGATGACTACTTTGCTTCTAACTGTTGACTGCTGTGTCTTTCTGATCCACTCTACAGCTTTATGGGAAGCTAAGCAATGGGAAAGAAAAAGCAACATCTAACAGAACCTGGCAGAAAACAGCAGCAGATTGCTCCATGTCAAGTATAAGCTCCAGAAACTCCACTCAGCAGCCAATATTTTCTTAAAGGTGCCAGTTCCTCAAATACCATTTTGGAGGGACAGACCCTATAAAGGGCACTTGGGCCACTGCCGACACCAGTAATAACTAAAACTCTCCTTTAAAAACATGCAGACCATAAACTAGAGAAGGAATGTGGCCAAATAGGCAGAGCTGCTAAAGAGACCCAGGGTCTCCTCTTGGCTCTTCCGTTGGCCTTGAGCCAGTTACTTCTACATATGCCTCAATTTCCCCATCAATACACCAGGAATAATGATATTTATATTGAGGATATTGATATCCATCATTATAAAGCACTTCCATTCATGGATGAGGTGTTTAGTACAAGAGGTATGCATTTTGTTTTTATTATCTACTTCTTGTTTCATACAGGTAGGTGCGAATCTTCTCTATAAATAACACGAAGCTCAAAAACATGTCATTCTTATGATTAAAAAAGACTAATTTCTTTCTCATGTCATGGCCTCCTTTTTAGACATATAAATGAATATAGAAACAATGTATCACAGGACATATATTTAGGACATATATTATACATAAAAAGTATTGGTTTGATATGCAGTTCTGCCACTATATTTAAACCATGGATTTTTGTGCCTTGGACTTTGCAGTTGGCCCTCATCTTTACCATGGGTCAAACCAAAATCCTGTTTCCTCACATCCTCAGATTAGT